TCATTTCAGTAGGAAACGCCCCGCGCCTGTGGGAGAACCAGGTCCTGATTTCAAGCCATCCAGATTTGACATGTCCCTGGGCGACCACTGATAAAGTGTGGAGTTCTCTCTTTTCATATTTTCCTTCCCCTATATCTTGGGTTTTGTTTAGCCAGTAATACAGGGGGCTTTATGTCTCTTTGTGGGGTCTTATTTCAGCATGACATATTCTGGCTTTGAAATTGACTTCAGGTTGTTAAAACCAAACTGGATTTGAACTACATTTATTGGTTCGATGGTTCGTAGTGAGGGGAGGATTGATTTTCTTTTTTTTAATGAAAAATTACAGACTACAAAGTTTTTGGGTAATCACGCAAGGGACTACTGGAGTGTAATGACTTCATGAATGTAATTACTTAGAGAAACATTCGATCCGTTCCTGGCAACAACAACAGCAGCGAAAAAGGCTAATAGTCGATCGTTTGCATGTCTTTCCGCCTGCCTGTTCGTACGCATCGATCTCGTCTGCCGTCTGTCACGTTCAGCCCTGGTGCTGACTTATTGTAATCAATGTGAGGTACTTAGCCGTTCTGAATCTCTTAAGTCCCCAACTCACTTACCGCTGTTATTGAATCAACACGCCATGATTATTTTCTTGGCTTATGTAATCTACATTTATTGGCTCACTCACGTGCTGGCTAGGTATTTTCGGTTTTTTTAAAAAATACATGATAGAGCGAAATGGGAACGATGTCTTGAGCATATTAGCATGAATTATCCCTGTCTAGCAAAGTGATAGATGTTGTCTTGAGATTGTATTCAGATTGTGTCTTTCTGTTCCCCGCAGGTGGAGCTGATCCAAGCCTTGAAATGCCTCGTGGAAATCACCGACCAGACGGCTGAGGTAAGGAGCTATCCTATTAGATGTGAATCATACTTTTTTGTTTTGTTTGGTTGTTTGTTTGTTTTTTGCTTTTGGTCCCGAGTCCATGGCAAAGATTTCGTTTTGGAAAAAAAAATAAAAAAATACAACAACAAAAGACCCCACTATCACCAACAACAACAGCAACAAGAACAACGACGACTCTTTTAAGAACACTACGATTTAAATATTATTTGTTTTCACGTGGAACTTTGGGTTGCAATAATCTGTACAACATACTTGAAAGATATGATGTAGACATTATATCGATGTCACATAATCTTCATCATACCAACGGTGTCAGTTTAGAGAAGATGCCAGTACAACTCCTTGTTGGCCGTTCTGTGGTTCCTGTGTCCTGCCGAATGACACACCCCAGTGACCAGCCATCCAAAAGCCGTTTGGACTAGAATGGGTTTTAACGCCCCTCGCGGTACTAAAGGTACTTACAAGGCACGGCCTCCGTTAGGAAAGAGTCAAGTGGGTGGAGTGTCCTGGGAACTCCCCCATACAAGCCAAGTTCATGAAGACCCGATTAGGGATTCAGACAGGGATTATCCGCATCAAGGCCCAGCTTGATACTAACTGCGTTGACAGTCGATTTAAATCACACTGACTCTTCCACTGGGACACACACACACACACACACACACACACACACACACACACACACACACACAAACACACACACACGCACACACACAGACATACACACACACTCACACGCACACGCACACCACATATATTTATATTACATTATGCATAGTATACACAAAACAGTTGTGGAAAATATTTTCCAAGTAGCATCTGGCCTATCGAAGACAAATAATTTTATGCATTTATTCAAGGTCTTCAGATATCTTTTTGTTTCCAAATCCATACGATATCATTTTTTTTTTTCTTCTTCTTTTCTTCTTTTGTGAAGGCCGGGGTGACCTCATTAGGAGAAGACCGAATGTGTTATTGTTAACTTCGCTTATTGTCGTCCTTCATTGCGCTTATCGATTCGTCAGTGATGTAACTTCGCAAGTGTCGTAACGATCTACTGTCTCAGGTGTGTCCTATGCTGAGTTATTTTCTTCTTTTTACCTTCTGTTGTTGACTTAAATACGTTTATGTGATGGTAAGTTGAATGTGGTGAGAACAGCTGTCCCCACTTCTAGTTTTCTCCCCTCATGTTCAATAGATGACGACTTTTCACATCCCCTTTTTAACTCTCTCTCTCTCTCTCTCTCTCTCTCTCTCTCTCTCTCTCTCTCTCTCTCTCTCTCTCTCTGTCTTTCCCTACCTCCCTCCTCCACCTCCTCCACACCTCTCCCGCCCCGTACTTCCCCAAAAATGCCTTACCAAGCTTTTTTACAGTTAACATTCTAACCTAAATATACACCGGAGAGGACAAGATTCTAGCGGCGGTTTTTTCTTCGTTCCCCTCAAACTGTTGTAGTTAGTATGGATACTGGCATATCCATTGCTAGGCCGGACTAAGTTGTTGCGAGAGTGTTGGTGGGGACGGCCGGGGAAATGACACGGCCAGGAAATGGGCTGAGGTCTGGGGAAATAGCATCACATGACAAATGGAATAACGCCGATCCACCAGGGAGGTGGAGGTGTACCTACCGGAACACAGACCAGCCTCCAGAGTAAATTATCCAATTTCTTCTCGCGGGTAATGCAATGAGCTGCTGGCTAGGGTTGGGTTTTTTGTTTTTTGTTTTTTGGGGGTGGGTTTTTTTATCGTTTTTTTTTCGGTTGTTTTTTTTCGGTCCCTTTTACTGTTTTTGTGCTTTGTTCTGGCTTTTTTGTTTTAAGGGCTTTCGTACACCCCCCCACCCTCTCTCCGGCG